GTGGGCACCGTCCGTGACCCAAGCACAGCGATCATTGCTCCTGACCCAAGCACAGTGGGCACCGTCCGTGACCCAAGCACAGCGATCATTGCTCCTGACCCAAGCACAGTGGGTACCGTCCGTGACCCAAGCACAGCGATCATTGCTCCTGAGCCAAGCACAGAGGGCACTGTCTGTGACCCAAGCACAGAGGGTATTGCCCAAACACCGAAGCACAGCGGTCATTGACCTGAGGACAGTGGACCCCTGTCCTAAATTATTGAGCCCTGCCCTGGACTCTGACTGCAGCCACTTATATGTCAGGTGAGGAAAGGAACATAAACTTAATTCGTTAAAGGGCATTAGCGAGCCAGTTAAAACCAGTGAGTTTCAACTCCTGCACCGGCTGAGGTAACGTGGAGGATTGTCCTTCACAACCTCTCCTCTCGCCTGAGGTGTGGTGACCCTAAGGTTAAACCACCACCAGTCATCTCTCTCCAATGAGAGAGCAGCCTTTTGGTTTGGTAGGCAACTTGACCTTACCTTATTAGTGAGCAGGGTGGGTTTTCAGAAAACCACACAGCGTTGTGGCTACTTTTACAGACAGCAGCTTCTAACGTCCAGGTTTTGGTCTAACCAAATTGGAATTCTCAAATTGTGCTGTCGGGATTTGAACCTACTGGACTTTTAGTCTCAACGTCTGGGTAACTAGGTCTAAAACATAACCATTACATCACTCTGTCAGGCTAATTTCACATGTAGGCAACAGATTTAAACAGTGGATCTACATGTACACTTTTATTGAGCAAATTTTACCCTCCCCCAATGAATATTCTGCTCCAGTTCAAGGCAGTTGGACCTCGGATGCCCCAGAAGACAATCCATCATCCATTCCCTCAGTCATATGTTAAAATAAATCTGATGAAAGAAATAAAAAAAAGACTGGCCTGGATTTTGCTCAAGTGGGTCCAATTTTAGAATCTTTCTCTCATCACCATTCATCTCAAAATCCTTCGCCATATAAACTACTGGAAGGCTGAGCGGTGAGGTGATGTCACGGGTGGGAGGATCTAGGACCTCAGTAAATGACAGGATTAACAGTCTGATATAACAAGGTGTAGAGCTGGATGAACACAGCAGGCCAAGACTTACTTGAAAAGTAGAAAACATCCGTAGCTTTCACACAGCATGCCAAGCATGGGCCACCTGAGCAGCACCAGCAGAATCCCAGCCAGGAAGAAACTGGAACCTTTCAGCTTCTGCCTTTGGACGAAGAACTGGAACGTGTTCTGCAGCCCAATGATGAAGGGAAGGCCAGACACGAAGAGGATCTGACAGGAAAAGCCAACAATGCACAGATATTGTGTCCACCTCACACTTTAGGAAGGTCAAAAATCACATGACAGCAGATTATAGTCCAACATGTTATTTAAGTACACTAGCTTTTGGAGCGTTGCTCCTTCCTTAGGTGTAATGAGAGAGGAGGTATCAAAACACAGAATTTATCAGTAAAAGATCAAAGGATTATACAACTGATGTGAATGTATTGAATAAACCTAAAATGGCTGGCTGACCCCCTCCTGTTAAATCTTTAATCAATTCGGAAGGAGGTGCAGGTTTCAATTGATTAAAATGCAAATCTTAGAATTTCTTTCAAGTAACTGCCCCTGAGATAACTAAAGGTTTTATCAAGAGGTGACATGTCAGAAGGACATGAATGTTTTGAAGGGAGTACAGCAAAGATTTACTAGCATAAGAACAGAGACGATGTGAGCAGGAATAGGCCATTTGGCCCATTAATCCTACACTGCCATTCAAACAGATCGTAGCTGATCATCTACCACTACATGACTTTTTCCTTACTATCTCCATATCTCTTGGTACAATTAATGTTGTATTAAGGTGCCATGGTCCGAAAGGGGTTAAAACTGGAAGGGAGGAGTACAACCAACCATGATGGTATTATATGGGATTGGTAGGAGAACAGCTTAGGATCTCGAAGGAGTAAGACCTTCCAACAGCATCTTCCTCATTGTCTCTGCAACAATGTCTATCACAGAGATAGTAGGAACTGCAGATGCTGGAGAATCTGAGACAACAAGGTGCAGGGCTGGATGAACACAGCAGGCCAAGCAGCATCATAGGAGCAGAGAGGCTGACGTTTCGGGCCTAGACCCTTCATCAGAAAAGGGGGAGGGGAAGGGGGTTTTGAAATAAATAGGGAGAGAGTGGGAGGCGGATAGAAGAGGGATGGAGGAGAGGATAGGTGGAGAAGAAACAAACAGGTCGAAGAGGCGGGGATGGGGCCAGGAAAGGTGAGTGTAGGTAGGGAGTTAGGAAGGGGATAGGTCAGTCCAGGGAGGACGGACAGGTCAAGGGGGCGGGATGAGGTTGGTTGGTAGGAGATGGAGGTGCGGCTTGAGGTGGGAGGAGGGGATAGGTGGGAGGAAGAACAGGTTAGGGAGGCAGGGACGAGCTGGACTGGTTTTGGGATGCAGTAGGGGGAGGGGAGATTTTGAAACTTGTGAAATCCACATTGATACCATTGGGCTGCAGGGTTCCCAAGCGGAATATGAGTTGCTGTTCCTGCAACCTTCGGGTGGCATCGTTGTGGCACTGCAGGAGGCCCAGGATGGACATGTCATCTGAGGAATGGGAGGGGGAGTTGAAATGGCTCGCAACTGGGAGGTGCAGTTGTTTATTGCGAACCGAGCGTAGGTGTTCTGCAAAGCGGTCCCCGAGCCTCCGCTTGGTTTCCCCGATGTAGAGGAAGCCACACCGGGTACAGCGGATGCAGTATACCACATTGGCAGATGTGCAGGTGAACATCTGCTTGATGTGGAAAGTCTTCTTGGGGCCTGGGATGGGGGTGAGGGAGGAGGTATGGGGGCAGGTGTTGCACTTCCTGCGGTTGCAGGGAAAAGTGCCGGGTGTGGTGAAGCTGGAGGGGAGTGTGGAGCGGACAAGGGAGTCACGGCGAGAGCGGTCCCTCCGGAAAGCAGATAAGGGTGGGGAGGGAAAGATGTCTCTGGTGGTGGGGTCGGATTGCAGATGGCGGAGGTGTCGGAGGATGATGCGTTGGATCCGGAGGTTGGTGGGGTGGTACACATCAGTGTTTATCTGTTTTCTAAACATCATTCATGGGATGTCATCATTGCTGGTTGAGCCAACATTTGTTGCCCAGAGGGCATTATGAATCAATCCCTTCAGGAGGTAGGGGAAGAGGAAGGGAAGATTAAGGGGGTGAGGAGAGAGAGAGAGGGGGTGAGAATTAAAGGGGTGGGGGGAGAGGGAGTGAGGATTAAGGAGGTGAGGGGAGAGGGAGGGAGGATAAAGGAGGTGAGGGGAGACGAAGGGAGGATTAAGGGGTGGAGGGGAGAGGAATGGAGGAATAAGGAAGGGAGGCAGGAAGGGAGAAGGAAGAATGAAACATTTACATTTATATAGCACTTTTCATGACCACCAGATGTCTTGAAGTGCTTTACAGCCAATGAAGTGCTTTTTGAAGTGCAGTAACTGGTTGTCAATCAGCAACCTCCTGCAAACATCGTTATGATAATGACCTGATAACAGACTCTTTTGTGATGTTGGTTGAGGGATAAAGATCAGCCAGAAAACACTGCAGTGACTCCCCTGCTATTGATTGAAAAAGCATTCTTGGAATCCACCCAAGCAAGTAAATAGCGGAGTAATAAATGTAACTCTACTCATTGGAGTTTAGAAGATTGAGAGGTCACCTCATCGCAACATATAGGATTCTTAAGGGGCTTGACAGGGTTAATGCTGAGAAGATATTTCCCCTCATGGGAGAGTCTAAGATCACATGGCATAGTCTCAGAGTAAAGGGGTGCTAATTTAGGACAGAAATGTGAAGGGGAAATTCTTCCGTGAAAAGATGGTGAGTCTTTGGATCTCCTTACCACAGAGAGCTATGGGAGCAGAGTCCTTGCATATATTTAAGACTGAGAGAGATCGATTCTTGATCAGTTGGGGAATCAAGAGTTACAGGGAAAGGGCAAAAAGTGGACATGAGGAATGGTCGGAACAGGCATGATCCTATTAAAAGTTGGAGCAGCCTTGAGGAGACAAATAGCTTAGTCCTGTCCCCATTTCTTATGATCTCATAGGGCCATTTGTTAAAGTTGCATTTTAAAGGTCTGTCAAAACTACACTCAGTCAGCACTGTGCGCAAGTGTTGGTTAAGTGTTCAGAGTAGGACTTGAACATCTTGTGATTCAGGGCCATGGCTGAAACTATGAACTTGGATTGTTCTCTTCAGGATGGTGAAAGCAATGACAGTATTTAATTGATGCATTCTAAATTATGAGGAGCAGTGACAGAACAGATAAGGAGAAATTATTTCCACTGACAAGACGGTCAGTTCCCAAGGAAACAGATTTATTATAAAGCAAATCCATTTTGTATTTTGCCTTAATAAGAGACCGTTAATCTCAAATAATGTAGAACATTACGAAACTGCATTTAAAACATGAAATCAATTTAGACAGCTTTGGAAAATGATTTAATCCAATGATCAAATAATGTTATGTATTTCTGGCAGAATGTAATCTATCTAATCCAATGTAACCTAAATAATGGAAAGAAAATTGGAACCAATTTAATCTTTTATGTACACAAGGTTTCCTACCCAACCTGAAATATCATACAGTCACATGTGTTTTCTGAGACTATTCAATTATGCTCCTCTCGAGATTCTTTTACGCACTGTCAACTTCAGTAATGCACCCAACTCCCACATATTTTCTAAAATGGAATACTCACATTTCCAAATCCAAGGAGCACTCTGTCAAAATATAAGAGGATGCCCATCAGAAGGAAAAACACTCCAAATCCTATAAGACCCACTCCAATCCCTGGAAGAAAACCATATCCATTTGAGTGATACACTCCTGTGTTTTTAATTCTTCATTGTCAGCAAGAGATGTTTTCTGCAATAGACAAGCCATCTCTGTCATAGACTTATGTAGCCGGCACTGATAGTGATCTGAACGCTGAGAATATGTGCAAAAACACAATTTGTACATAGTAGCACTCACTCAGTAAGGGTACATGCATAGCACACATATTAAGATTAATTGTACAAACACAATCTCCATCTCAAATCTCTAAACTGTTCAAGTTTCCCTTTGTGTACAAATCACTTTGTTATGTTTTTCTTGTGATATGGCTGCTATTGGCAATTGCACAGCATTTATTCTCCATCTATAGTCTCAAGAAGGAGAGTTTTTTTTTCCTCTCTCTCAGAGGGTCATGAGTCTGTAGAATTATCTTCCCAAGAGAGCAGGGGAGGCAAGGTCATTAAACATGTTAAGGCTGAGGCAGACAGACACGAGGAGTCAAAACACGTAGGGCAGAGCTTCACAAACTGTGGGAGGTTGGGGTCATGAGCTCAGAGGCTGCGATGGCTCCTGGGGAGATCCAAGTTATCATTCACAGCTGTGAGGCCCCTTTAAATCCTTGCGCCTCTTTTAATGGCGGGCATGCTTCACTGAACAATCTTGGAGGCTTTCATTTTAACTTCAAAGAAGTCAGTAAAAGACCCCAAGGATCAAACACCTTGCTTCTCATCTCAAAACTCCCCATAACCTCCCAGCCACCTCCTGCCTCCCACCGACCCCCAACCCCCTTCTTCTTCCACACTCCTCAGGGTCATGACTATCTTCTGACTTTGATTTGGGGCACCCATTGGGAAAAAAATCGTTGGGAAGCAATGGCATGGGAGTAGCCAGGGAAGTAGAGACTGTATTCAGACCAGCCACATCCGTACTGAATGATGAAGCAGGCTTGAGGGGCTGACCCTATGCATCTTATGTAGACATCCTGGCAATTTCTCGTCTTAACGCCCGCAGGATTTGGGTGAAGTTCTGAAAGAGAGCTTATGGTGCAGATCTTAACTCTGCCAGCTGCAGGCGTGTAAGAATCAGTGAATAGAGGAGGCGTGAAAAGAAATTTTTGGAATGCAACAGGCTAATCCACACCAGACGCGTGTGTTGGGAGTTACATCGTGCAGCTAAAGCAGTGATGACTCCATCTGCTTTCAAGTTGGTGAATTCCTACTTAAAAATTCCGGCAGACGGTTTGTCAGGTCAATGAGTCAATACAATTGTGAGCGCTAATCAATATCTTTGGAGACATTCAATTATTTACTGAACCGCATCTTTCCAAAACATGTGCACCATACTTCCCCTCCGCCGTTACTTACTCTGCGTGTCAGTTAAGCAGATCATTTTCTTCAAATTTTTTTAATAAAGAAAATGAATACATGTGATATTTAATCCAAATTCTAAAGTGCCTTCCAGATGTACTCGAGTTGTTGCAAAATGTGACCCTTGGCTCGAACAATGAGCCTGATTGAATGTGGAAACATTTACAGAGCAAACATGCCCTCAGGGACTGTGGTGAAAGTCCACTCCACTATCCCAGGCATATCAACTACAGTAATGCTTCTTAATCATAATTCTCAATCTTAGTCATAAAACCAAGGTAATATTCAGAGACTTGTGGTCTTCTGGGAGGTCACAGTATGATTCCAAGTTGGCTTGATAAAACACACACACATTTAGAACAAAGAACAGTACAGCACAGAAACAGGCCCTTCAGCCAACCAAGACTATGCTGACACATGGCACCTTTCTAAATTAAACACATTTTGCCCCTTGCTGCCTAAATCCCTTATTCCCCACGTACTCATGTATCTGTCAAGATGCTTCTTAAAAGTTACTATTGTATCCGCCCCTACCACCTCATCTGGCAGCATATTCTGGGCACTTAACCACCTTCGTGCAAGAAATCTGCCCCTAACATCTCCTTTAAATTTACCCCCTTTTACCTTAAACCTGTCTGCTAGTAATTGACACTTCCATCTTGGGAAAGTGACTCTATCCACTCTGTCGATACCTTTCATAATTTTGTAAACTTTTATCAACTTGCCCCTCATCCTTCAATGTTCAAGTGAAAAAAACCCAGGTTTGTTCAATCTCTCCTCATAGTTTATACCCTCCAATTGAGGAAACATCATGGTAAACCATTTCTGTACCCTCGCCAAAGCCCCCACATCCTTCTGGTAATGTGGTGACCACAACTGTACACAATATTCCAATGTTGTCTAACTAAAGTTAGACATGACTAGGCAATTTTTACAATCTATGCCCTGACCAAAGAAGGCAAGTATGCCATATGCCTAGTTGACCACCTTATCTGGCCACCTTATCCTTGTGTTGCCACTTTCAGGGAATTGTACACCTGTACTCCTCGATCCCTCTGTATGTTGATGCTGCTAAAGATGCTGCCATTCACTGTTTATTTCTCTCCTGCATTAGATCTCCCAAAATGCATAACCTTGCTCTTGTCCAGATTAAACTCCATCTGCTATTTCTCCACTCAAGTCTTCAGCCTAACTATATCCTGCTGTACCCTCAGGCAATCCTCACTATCCTCAGCTCCCCCAATCTTTGTGTTGCCAGTAACTTACTAATCAGGCCACCTACATTCTCCTCCTAAGTAGTTATTTTTTATACAAAGAACAGGGGTCCCAGCACTGATCCCGACGGAACACCACTGGTCACACATCTCCGATCTGTAAAACAATTTGCCCTGCTACTCTCTGTTTTCTATGACTAAGTCAGTTCTGTATCCATCCTACCAGCTCACTCTCGATCCCATGTGACTTTACCTTCTGTACCAGCTTCCCAAGGGGTACCATGTCAAAGGCCCTGTTAAAGTCTATAGAGACAACATCTACCACCCTCCCCTCATCAATCATCTTTGTTTCTTCCTCAAAAACTCAATCAAGTTTGTAACACACGATCTTCCCTGCACGAAACCACCCTGTCTTTCACTGCTTAGTCCATATTTTCCAAAGGTGAGTAAATCCTATCCCTAAGAATCTTCTCCAGTAACTTCCCTACCACTAACGTAAACCTCACTGCCCTGCAATTTCCTGGATTATGCCTGCTGCCCTTCTTAAACAAAGGAACAATGTTAGCTATTCTCTGGGACTTCTCTTGGCTAAAGAGGATACAAAGACTTCGTACAAGTTCCCAGCAATTTCCTCAACTGCATCCCTGAGCCTTCTGGGATAGATGCTATCAAGTCCCAGAGATTTGACTACCTTAATACTTTTTAAAATGCCCAACACCTTCTCCTTTTCTATTTTGACATGTCCCAGAATATCATCACACCCCTCCCGAGACTCATCATCTACCATGTCCTTCTCCTTTGTGAATACTAATGCAACGTATTTGTTAATGACCGCACTCACTTCTTCCAGCTCCATGCATAAATTCCCTCCTTTGTCCTTGAGTGAACTTATCCATTTCCTAGCTACCTTCTTGATCATTATATATGTATAGACACCTTGGGATTTTCCTTAATTTTGCTTGCCAAAGACATGTCATTAGCCCTCCTAATTCCTTGTTTGAGTCCTTTCATGCTATCTTTGTATTCTTTGGGGGCTTTATCTGTCTTCAGTTTCCTAAACCTCATGTATGCCTCCTTTCTCTTTTTGACTAAGCTCAATTTCTCTTGTCACCCAACGTTCCTGAATCGTGCCATCCTTATCCTTCATTTTCACAGGAACACACTGAGCCTGAACTCTAACAAACTGGACTTTAAAAGATTCGCACACGCCAGCTGTGGATTTAACCTTAAACATCTGCCCCAATCTACATTTCTCAGTTCCTGCCCGATATTGCTGCAGTTAGCCTTCCCCAACTTAATACATTCAGCCAAGAACTACTTTTGTCCTTTTTTACAAGTTACTTAAAACTTACAGAATTATGATCACTGTTCCTGAAATGCTCCCCCAGAGAAACTTCGATCACCTGGCTGGGCTCATTGACTGATACCAGGTCTAGTCTGGCATTTCCCTAGATGGATTATTTATATATTGTTTCAATATGAGTCTCAGTCAAACAGGGGAAGTTAAAATCACCCACCATAACAACCCTGTTGTGTTTACATTTTTCAATCATCTGTACACATATCTGTTCCTGTATCTTACCGTGGCTGTAGGGGTGCCTGTAATACAATCCCATCAAAGTGGTTGCACCTCTCCTATTCCTGAACCCTACCCAAAGGCCTTACTAGATGAGTCCTCCAATGTGTCCTCTCTCAGTACAGCTGTGATATTCTGTGTAACTCCTCCATCTCTTTTACATCCCTGTCTATCTCACCTGAAACATCAAAATCCCAGACATTAAGCTGCCAGCCTTGACCCTCTCTCAACCAAGTGTCTACATAAGTTCATCTGCTTTATCTATCATGCTCCTCATATTAAAATGAATACACTTCAGACCGCCAGTCCTGCTGTGTTCAGTAACCTCTCCCCATTTGTTCTTCCTCTTAGCCTTACTGGTCTTCATCCCTAACTCCTCCCTTGGTTGCTTTACTTGCTGACCTACTGCTCTGGTTCTTGCTTCCCTGCCACACTTGTTTAAACCCTCCCAAGTGACACTAGCTAATTTCCCCACCAAGATATTGGTGCCCCTCCTTTAGATGAAACCCATCCTTTTTGTACTGGTTCTACCTGCCCCAGAAGACATTCCAATGATCCACATAACTGAAGCCCTCCCTCCTACACCAGCTCTTTAGCCAAGTATTTAACTATACTATCTTCCTATTTCTAGCCTCACTGGCATATGGCGCAGGAAGTAATCCCAAGGTTGCAACACTACAGGTTCAACTTTTCAACTTCATTCCCAACTCCTTGAATTCACTTTGCAGGATCTCATCTCTCCTCCTGCCTCTGTTGTTAGTACCAATATGGACCACGATCTATGAGTTCTGAGGAAAGGTCACTGGACCCTAAATGGTAACTCTGATTTTTTTCTTCACAGATGCTGCCAAACCATCTGAACTTCTCCAGCAACTTCTGATTTTGTTCCTGATTTACACCATCCACAGTTCTTTCGGTTTTTATCTGGATCATGATCTATGGCTGCTCATCCTCATGCTTCAGAGTATTCTTTCCCACTCAGAGACATCCTTGACCCTGGCATCAGGGAGACAACATGCCATCTTGAAGTTCTGCCCTCAGCAACAGAAACACCCATCTGTGCTCCTAACTATAGAGTCGTCTCTCACTACCATTTGCCTACACTTTGACCCTCCCTGCTGTATAACACTGCCAGTCGTGGTATCATTCATCTGGCTGCTGCTGCTTTCCCCTAAGAGGCCATTCCTCCCCCCAACAGTATCCAGAACGATGTACCTATTCGAGAGGGGAATGGCCTCAGGTTTCTACTCTACTGTCTGCCCACACTTACTCAATCTTCCTAGTGTTACGGAAGGGGAATGGCCGAACCTTCTGATAATTAAACTAAAACACAAGCCCCAACCTGTTATGATGGGAGCAGGGGTTCCTTTCTAATAATTACCCCTGAAACAGCCAGAGAAGCCTACCTTACCCCTTGTAATCTGTTAAAAGAATGGTTAAAAGAAAGAAAATCCTTGATCTCCCCTCTACAAGTAACAATTTATTTACTTAACCCTAACAACAAACAAATTAATAGAATCACTAACAAACTGAACAATTCCCCCCTAAGTACTACTAACTACTCCCCAACTGAACTAAATTTTACTGGGGTAGTAGGAACTGCAGATGCTGGAGAATCCGAGACAACAAGGTGCAGGGCTGGATGAACACAGCAGGCCAAGCAGCATCATAGGAGCAGAGAGGCTGACGTTTCGGGCCTAGACCCTTCATCAGAAAAGGGGGAGGGGAAGGGGGGTTTGAAA